AATTATTTGTTAGCTTCTTAAACAAAACAGACCCATAATAATTCAAATCTTTATCATTCAAGACTTCTAAGAATTATGAAGTAATCTCACGTCAAATTTTTTTAAAATTATTGCATGCCTTAAATATTTGCAAAGTTAACAAAAATATTTCTTTGCATACCTTGCAATTAATATATTTAATCCAATTTATCAGTTCTGCATCATATCCGAAATTTAGATTGTGTGTGACACAATGAAGAGTTAAAGTGCAACGTGAACGACCAGAAAAATATCAAGTAAAAAAGATTGTTGAGTTTTAATTACTAGTTCCTTCCCCTCATATTGGCTTCCTTCTTGCCTAAAATCTATATTGTCTTTCCTAACATTTTAAATATAAATGATTGAAACTCATACAAGTTTACCATAATTTAAACTTAAGATAGTCCATAATTATATTAAAATATAACACTTACGAAGTTAATAAATATTAACTATTTCTACTTATTTTTAATCATTTAATAATTCTGATAAAACCACGCTTGATTTTTTTATTTTAGAAATCATACGGGCTATAATAATTAATATGACTATGTTAACAATACTTAAATTAAAATTTATTTGAAGGAATGCTACTGTATTACAATAATTGTAAAACACGTATAACTAGGAATAATATAATAATTATTTAAAACTGCTCATCGCGTTATCGATGTCGGCGTCTTGTCACTTTTATTTAGTCCTGTCACTATTATTTTATTAGCCGTTTAGGTATAGTTTGATTTCAGATAATGCAGATTTTAATGTGCCATTTGTGGTTTTTTTATTGGATTTTTTTTTGCATATTTGGTATATTCTATGAAGTGATTTTAAGTGCTCCTGGCCATTTTTCAGTTATTAAAGTGCCTATTTAGATACATTTAAAATGAATTAATTAGTGTATAGTATTTGTATTATGAGTTTGTTTATTTTTTATGAAATGTATTTTTTCCCATTAAAATAAACATAGCTTACTAGATCACTAGCTAGCCATTTTCAAATACAGGGTTTTAATTAAGTATCTGGCCAAACTTCACGAGGTGATTCTTTGAGTGTTTTAAGGTAAAAAGTTCATTTAAACATGTGTCCGGAAATGTATAATTTTAAAGATACAGGGTGTCAAGGTGTTTTCTAATAGACCTTTTTTATTAATATCCCAAAGATCCGTTGACCGATTTTGTTAAAATTTCACCATGTTGTGAACTTTGATAAGTTAGCACTAATTAAATGATAATTATTATTTACAACGATATTCAAAGGATAAAATTTATCCCAATAAATATTTGGCAACGCCTTGGATTCATGTGTTTTTACGCCTGTTGGCGATGGAAACCATGCAAGCTTTTTCTTTGGCCTAAGTTGTTAATTAAAAAAATAATAATCATAAAAAATATAGGTCCTAATAGCCTAAATTTTAGCAAAATGTATCAGCAGATCCGATGAGATCCGAGTTATTATGTTTTGGAATTTAATGATTTAATTAATTGTTCCCTTTAATGCATTTACCTATCCTACGCGCCAAGAAAAAATATTGCATTAGTCTAAATTTATTATTTATGTGATTCCACTCTCTCACGTATAATTTGTCCCTTGCTTCTCATACGGAAAGAGTTAGATTAAAATAGCCAAACTGTACCTAACAACCCATATGCCTTGACGCATATTCTTTTTTATAACAATATGGGCTTTCTTTATCCGCCGATTCAGACAAACATCCATATCCATAAAATAGTTGGCCCACAGACACACACACACTGATAAATTAATAAGACCTCATTTCGGCCCTCAAACGTCCTTCGATGATCAACGCCGGCTAAACTATCGACTTACATGTTGACAAGTTGATTAGGCAGGTTATTGAACTCGTGTGGCATCGAGCATGTCGTTTTTTCAAAGATGGGTCCCATATAAACGCGGCCAGAAGTATTTTCAATACTAAAATTTTAAAACTATAGTTCTTTTCAAACGTCACAAAAGTATTCATTTTTGCGACGTGAATAACAATAGAAAAAAGTCTTTTTAACGCCTAGGCAGAAAATTAAAGCACATTTACGCCTAAGCACACAAGTACGAAAATATATTATTAAACTGACATTAAGTGTCAAATTCAATGAGCGTAACCCTAGTTTCTTGATATATAATTACTTACAAAGTATTGCTTTTAAATATTTTTATATTATTTGGTAGGTTTTAAAATTGTTTAAAAAAGTATTTATAGCGTTTGAAAAAAAAATAGCATGTTCTATTCGGAGTAAAAATGATTTTTTGTGTCAAACGTACAGCCTAAACAAGTATCACTTTTACTTCTAATAAAACAATATACTATTTTTTCGATTAGTTTTTCAATTTGTAACTCTGAATAGAATGACATACCAAATGTCAACTTTTGATATTTTCGCTTAAAAAAATCGTATTTTAAATTTCATTCTAAAGTGCCATGGCGGTGTTAAAAACACTAACTTTTAATCAAAAAGCCTTGGGGAAATATATTTGATCGTCTAATGTTTTTCGTGTCTTTTACTGGCCGGTTAAAAGATGCCCAAATCGTATTTTTAATCATATTTCATTTTTTTCAAATGAAACAGGTGTGGCTCATTAGCATAAATATGTCCTTTCTTCTGTTTTTTTAATTACAGTACTATAAAAACTGGAAGAATGCTTAAATTGTTAAGTTTTCCCTATTTTGCAAAAACTTCAGAACAAAATCCAAACAATAAAGTAAAGTTATGTTCTCATATTTGACAGAATAACAAATAAATTATGGAAACTTTTCAGACACAAAACGGGTATGAAACCTTTGAAAATGTGAGTCAATCTGTTTCTTAAAAGTTTCGAAAAATTTGTAACACTAACATCTTTATTGTTAACGTTTGTATCGAAAGTGTGTCGAATCAATTCCAGAAATTTTGTGTCTTGACACAAAATCACCATCATTATTACGAAACTGTTTCGCATGTTTCCCAGCAGAGATTTTAATTCGATTTTGTGTCTAAAAATGCTATTTGGGTATAAGCTCAGTAGTTTTAGAATGTGGTGAACGTTGTGTTAAAGTTAAATAAAATAAAGACAATGGAAGTTCGAAATTCTCTTAGTATCAACCCTGAATATTGTTTCTTTTCATTTCAGGATAGTGTAATATGAAACTTTCAAGTCTATTTTAAGCATTGCGAACTTTCCGTAACCGCTTTGGAGGCGCTCACTCCTCACAACAACGCCGCATACTTTAAACTAACCACGGACCCGCCTGGCAAATTCCCCCGATCATAAACTATTCTAATGTGATTATTATGGATCGGGATGGAGTAGGCACCTAAGGCCTACAGCCCTCCGTATGTCGCTCAAACTTTTCGGATTATCTGGAATAAATTGCCGTGACGGAGGCGTTTAGGGTTCCTGGCGGAAAACCAGAGATGCCAAGCGCTGGAAATTCCAGCCATTATACCTGTAACCTAGACTAGGTCAGGTTTTAATTATTGTGAGGGATGAATTTGGAAAATTCCGTTATTGCCGGTTGGATGACGGACGGCTGGGGGTGGCTTGTTAATATGAATGATTATGTAAGACGGTGGTAGATTATTAAACAGATTAATTTTATATTGGCGTGAATACAGAATTTGTCTAACCTAAAGCGGCTTGTAGATTGTAAATTGCATGATTTGGTTTGTGCTCTATTGTGTCCTCCTTGCTTGAGTTATAATTCATCATACAGTCTAAGAGCTTTGACAAAAGTCAGGATCTGAGACGGTTTTACAGGGTTTTTACAAGTTCTCCATCTCCGATATCAGTCATACCAAAGTTTATGACACAAACGGTTGTCATCTCGGTGCACCCAGTGATGAGGTATTGTGATATTTCACTATTTTCCCTTCAGAATCTGCATTCATATTTCTTTCTTAGCTTCAATCTACTGAGATGTTCATTGAGGAGACAGTGTCCTGTTAAAACCCCGTGACAATCTCAAGATTGCTTTTTCCTAAATCCAGGAAAATCTCTGATTTTTATCGGTAAACTCCACAACAATTAATTTTAGTTCGTTCTAAAATACTATTTTTATTTAAAATTAGCAAAAATTACAAAATAAAATACGAAAAACATATGTATTTATAGAATTTTACGTTTATGTTGTATCTATCTTCCTACTACATTGTCAAAGAGATTCCAGTTCAAATAAATTATATTAACCATGTCACAGTGAAGGTTATTTAAATATCGTTTGAACTTAAAAATATTCTTCCCGAGTAAATAAGAGCTTTAAAAAATGGAATAGATTAATTTTAAAACCTGCGTTTTCTCTGCGCAGCAGATAAGCGTCCCCGGATTTAATGATCGATCAGTCCGGAGTCCGGAAATGGCGCTCCCGGACCTAAAGACTGTCTTTCTAACGAGATATATCGGTTCTTCGGCGGTAATTGGCGTAGCTTAATTCCAAGAATTCGGAAGAAAAAGTCCGGACGTCCAATTATGGAGAAGAAATTTAGAGGAAACGTGTCTCTGGAAAAGAATGTCAACTTCGGTTGCTGTTTTTTATTTTTCCTCGGATCGTGGTAAAAAAGGAATATTTTTGGATGGAAATTAAGATGGGTCGTAATATTGGAAAAGTTTTTAAAGAATGTATTCATTATTATTTATGTGTTATTAAAAATGAAGTAGGATTGTAAGAAATGGAGTTTTAGTTTTTGTATAGAAACAGATTGAATTTCTAAATTAATATAATATTCTGTAGGCAAAAATACTCTTTTTCTCCATTTATACTCTATAACAATTTATTTATTATTTAATTTTTTTATTTTTTTTATTCTTCCTCGAATCGTGGTAAAAAAGAAACATTTTTGGTTGGAAATTAAGTTGGATCGTAATAGTGAAAAAGTTTATGAATAATGTTTTATTAAAATTGAAGCGGGATTGTAAGAAAAGAAGTTTTAGTTTCGTATAGAAACAGATTGAATTTTTAAATTAATATAATATTCTGTAGGCAAAAATACTGTTTTTCTCAAAGACATCTAAATAAAAGGAGACGAAACAATTTACATTTTACCGCGATCACGAACCGTGTTGCACAAAAATCGATGATGCCAATTTTAAGTGACCGGTGGTAGATTTCGGCTGATTACGGTTTGAGTTCTAAATGCTATTGTCATTACAAGGTCATTAGACTAAATATTTGTGTAGATATATAATTTTAATTATAATACATTAATTATACTAGGATTATACCTTTGAAATTATTATTAGTTTTCTAATTAAATTATATTAAAATTACGATTAAAATATATTAGGGAAATTACTAAGACAATCCGGCATCGCTACGGATTAATTTTTACTACGAATTGTCGGAATCTGTAGAAATTACGCTGACATTTGACGTATTCATTCAACTTTTGTCCAACGGAGCATTGTTGCGAGTTTTCTGCGACCGTTGGAAGTGTTTGTGGATTTCGGACAACTTTCGAATAATTATTAGTGTTTATTGCAAAGAAAACTATTTAAAGTAGTTTTTTAACTATCTACAATGGTTCACCAGTGCATAGTTTGTTAAAGGTGGACTATTCTAACTCCTGATTGATATTTGGACGGTAAGTGTTATTACATTTTTTTACCTTTAGCAATGCCTTTACAGTAGCGTATCTAAGTACTTTTAGTTATAAGTAGATTATTACAAAAATACGTATATTTTCTTATTTGCTGTCGTTTTTGATTGTGAAATTAGACTTATCCTCAGTTAGACCTCAGGCAAAACCTTGGCAAAACCGATCTACGTTTTAAGTCAATTATTTTAAGTATTTGTCCATTTCGCTGTTACAGTTGGTGGTAAAAAATGCTCAGAGGTAATACTGGCTGTTCTCAACTTAACATTTAAAAACCTTTTTTATATTATATCTAAGTACCAACTAACATTCGAAACCGCTATAAATATCTTAAAAATTGTGTATGTTATGGCTAATATCTGCTGAATAAAACAGCTGTTGCTGTTATAGGTAGTTAATACCTGAAATTTGAACACGATTTGAACATCAGAATTATTCAGTTATATTCTATATTAACTATGTACCTATATGTATGCTAAATTAGTATGACAAAGTTAGCTAATGTTCAATTAAAGACATTTAATTTTTATAATTACTTCAGACTTTGGCTAGATAATTTCCATATTTCTCTCCCAATGTTGAAAGAAAACTATTTTTGCAATCTAAATATTAATATTATTGAACTCTAGTTAACATTAGCAGGTTTTAGATATTAACCGTAACACATGATTGATCTATTATTTATTTATTATAAAAAATTCTATAAGTAATTACATAATAGGTAAGGTTTAGATATAGGTATTCAAAATTCAAATTAAAAAAGTTAATAAAATAAATAAAATTATAATGATGCTTCAGTACTTAAAAAATATGCACTGTTTTGAATGATAATGATAAGCCTTACTTATGATAATTCTTTACTCTTTCATTTATGATATTTTTTTTAGTTTTGGAACCCTTTACACTTTTACCCACACTTACCTATACACCCACACACACACAATTCACAGTACATATCTGGTGTTTTAAATAGAGGAAAATAAACCTTGGAAAATTTTTTTCCTTCAGGTTAATTTTTCCTTTTTTTTACCGCATATTTTTATTATTTTACATATATTATTAAATAGATTTATAATACTTAATATGTATGTGTTGCATATGTAACCAATAGTACTTTTGTAGCGTTCCTATAAATACTGAGCTTAGACAATGATCGATTTCACTCTTGAATTTGAAAAATCAAACTAACGTGTGTCCAAATTTGTTCTGATGATTTTGATAAGAGCAATATTATGATCGCCGAATTAACTAATCGAAGGCAAATAAGACCAAATTCTGAGCCTCAAATAGATAGTACCATTTTTGCTGGGGCTTTATCATACAGGTAAAAAGCAGTCAAACACATTTTAACAGTTAATAAATAAGTATTGTACTAATATTAGTATTTACTCTAGGTTTTCTTCTACTTTGTACCGCCACCCAAAAAATGTTTTAGGTAAATGAACCTCCAGACCAGCTGAGGGACTAGAGAAGTAAGAACATGATACATTTTATACATGTATTTTAATATTGATAATTAATTAAAATTCACAGGATTTTGCCTAAAATCATACAAGATAAACTAGCCCTTCTCAAGAAGCCCTTCCCTCAAAACAACAGAAACGGCATTGGAAAAAGAAGTTGGAATTAACCAGTATGTGCTCTTTGTAAGTGTATTCTGGATGTTTGACTGTGACAAGGCTTAAAAGCTCTTGTATTTTTAACAGAATGGGAATATAGCTGTATTCATAACAAAGTAATATATATATAATAATATAATAATAATATAAAATGCTAATGGTTATCTGTGTCGTCTCTACTGAAGTAACGACTTGCTCTAGAAAGTTGCTTTTTTTTACTAAAAGATAGCTAATTGGCTCTTCTAAAAACTGTCATCGCCGGATTTTTTGTTTTTCATTTAATTAAAAAAAAAATATTTTTTTTCCTGATTTCGTGGCGGATGCGCCAGGCTTCAACTAGTATGTAATATATTTTAAATGAAATACTCTCATTATAACTATTATTGTCAAATAGTGTACTGTGCCTTATTGAATACAGGTGTACACCCTCTTGCGAAGTATTTACTTTTTAACATACAGGGTGTCACAATAGTAAGTTTAATTTTGACATATCCAGGTATTTCTTTAAAAAAATAGAGACGCGAAATTTCGTAGACACAATTTTTGCGGTAAAAAATCTAAATACATTCTTAATCATACTTTTGACGTAACTATAGTAGACGGGATACTTTGACACATTGAGCTTTTTCAAAATAATATTTTTTCTGCTTTTGTTTGCCGTCTTAATTATTTAAAAATTGACATCTCTATCTTTCTTGCAGAAAAGGGGACACTTTGTTTATGTCATTAACAGTAATAGATTTCAAGGAAGCTGTTATAATATTTAATAGAACAATATAACGTAATATAACATTACTAATATCACTTTGTATCTTATTAATTAAGCACTTTATGGGTTTACTTCCCTATCTTAATTTTTATAAAAATACGAGACTTGTTGCTTCTCATTATCAAGCTTTATTGGTCGAATATCCAGAAACCCTGTATAATTAACATAGCTATCTTTTTATTTTATATGTTTCGTCAAGGATATGTTATTTGGAATTATCTTCCACATTATAAGATCATAAACTACATAATTTTTGCCATAGTGTTGGTTTTTGTTTACATATATTTTCTATGAGTGAGCTTTTGTTTTGCACTAGAAAACATTTTCGCTTAATGATAAATTTAATACTATAGAAGGAAATTATTAGTATTTAGGAAAAAATTAAAAACGAAAATAGGTTTTATTGAAAAATTAATTATTAATGTTTTTTTGTTTGTTTACAGCATAGTAAGACAATCCTCATCTTCTGATCTCTCAATAGTTGGATATTTATTATCTCAAGAAAGTCGTCAAAGTATCAGAAAAAGGTAAAAATTACCTCTACATTATATACAAGGTGGTGCCTCTCCTACGACGCGGAGGCTCCAAAGAGAACGGTGGTTTTTATCGTTAATGTAATTTTGGGAGCATATGTAGGATAATGGAAAGCATTTTATAGAAATATCAAGAGTTCTGCGGGGTGTCCCCAAAAAAAGTTATGCATCAAAGTTTTTTTTTGTAATGGAACACCTATATATTAATTGATTTTCGGATTCTAGGAAAGAAATAAAGGTGAGTTTCATTAAAGAAGCATATGTCTAAAATGTAAGGCTTGTCATATTTCACATTTGGTGAAAATAATGAATAAACTTTAAATTTCAATAACAGCTACCTAGATGGAAATTTACTCATTGTATATTTAACCAAATTAAAATTTGACCTTAAGCATTCTATTAATTGATGAATGCACACTGCAATTAAAAGATCGGAATAGTATTCTGGGTGTTCAAATAAAAGGGAACTTGCTGTGTTCATTTCAAATAAAAGGGAATAAAATTACATTTTAGTCCAATAATGAAATTCACCTTTATTTTTCTCATAGAATCCGAAAATCAAATAATATATAAGGTGTCCCATTCCAAAAAACAAAACTTTGTTGTGTAACTTTTTTGGCGACACCCTGTAGAACTCCATATTTTAAAAAAACACATATTTTATCACATTTATATGTTTAAATGCTCTAAATTAACCTACATATACTCCCAAAATTTAATTTCAATACAAACTCTTTCTCCTTGGTAGCATTTAAGAGGCGCCACCCTGTATCTTAAGTAAAATTGTGCATAAGTTATTTTAATTTCAGAAAGAAGTATGTTAATGAGGCATTATAATGATATTATGTAGAAATTTAAGTCTTGTAAAAATTTGGAAACAAAGAAAATGAAAAATACATACTTTACAAATAGGTCTTAGACGATTGAAAAATAAAATAATATCAATGCATCAGTTAATTGATTACTTAAAAGAAAAATCTTTGATAAGTGAATCAACTGAATTGAGGTAACTGACCATTCAGGTATAAATATAGGTATGCAGGGTGACATTTTAAAAATATAATGGATATAAGTCAAAGGTTATATGTGAGGATCCAAAAAAATATAAAAATCAAGTAAAAATCGCTAAAAGCAATTTCTAATAATTGAAGCTGTATCTCTTACTGTTTCTGAGATCCCAGTGCTTGTAATTATTATCTTGGACACACTATTTTATGTATATATTTGAGTGGCGGGCGGAGGGGAACTATAATAATGTAAAGTTATCAGCCATTTAATAATTTAGTCCTACAGCCATTATGTCAAAATCTGTCCCTAAGATTCATTAACAAGTTTTAAATTTAGTTCTGGTCTAATTTTGTGAATGATACACTAATCCATATGACAGTGGCATAAATACGATTAATGGAAGGTTCTAATTTCCATGACAAGGCCAGGTCTAAATTTTAAAGCCCTTTAGTGAATTTGGATGTGTCTAAAAAATACTAATAATAATATTATAGAGATATAACATTAATAGAGATAATATATGTTTTTTTAGGCTTCCTTAGCTGAACCAGTACAAAGTATTTTTGAAAGAATGTTAAAAGGACCTGCCACACAAAAATCCAATCTTCTGCTACTATCTTTTGCTTTAACATTGTCATTTTATTCGCCGAAAACATAGAATTTTATAAGGGATACATAAACTGGCCCAGAGTTTTCTTAGGAGGCCTCTAAATTCCATTTAGTTTTCAACAATATTTTTGATATTTTTAACTCTCAGAATGGATTTACATAATATTCATATAAAAAAATTATCAAAAATATAAGAACAACATACTTTTTAATAATTTTGAAATAATTAAGTTGTATATTATTGGACTTACTTTAAAAGAAAGGTCAACTATAGTCACCAAGAAAAACGGGATTTTTGGGCTTTCTAATTTGTATGGAAAGCTTACAACGTATGTATAAATACTATGTAAAAGAAAATCAATTATTAAAATATATTTTGACTAACTGGTGGAGGTCCACGTATACAAAAAGCAAAAACGGAAGATAATAATATATTCAATCAATATAAAAATGAGAAGAGCATTGTGGGATTAAAGAACATGATGGTGATAGATTGTCTAAAACTAATAGGAGTACTGGTATTGTAAGTACTAACCTTTCATTGTGTTTTTGAATTTTTTATTACTTTTAAGAGAATTCAATATATTTAGATATTTTTTCAGTCTCAAAACAAAACTGATGGTTACAAAGAAACAGAAGAAAAGGGAAGATATTAATTTACTAGACAAAAGGCTGTTCTTTTGTAATATGGAGATGGGCAAAATTCAAAGTAGTAGTATTCAAAACAGAGAAGAACATAAGCTAAAGAAAAAAAAGGGTTGTTAGACATTGAAATAAAAAAAGAACAGTAAAGTTCTCAAAGAGAACTTATTTAATAATTATAGTTAGTGTTTATATTGTAATGTAAAAAATGTAATGTATGTTATTTCTGAATAAAAGACATTTAATAATGATATTTTATAGAAATTAATACTCAAGAGATTTAATAACAACATAAAAACATGTTTAGAATAAGTTAAAAAAAAATATTGCCCTAATCTTTCAAAATAATTTATTATTTCTCTTCTTATTAATTTGGTCCATATTTATTTCATCTAACGGCGGCAGCTCTTGTTCAGACATCATTCTGGCTGTATTGTGTAGCACATTGAAACAACAAAATCTAAAAATTTAAGTACATACATTAAATTTTTTAAATTTTGTTCTATAATTAAACAGATAATATTTTTCTTAACTCATTGTTGTGCAACAATAACTGACATTGTGTTTTGTAATTTTGGTCTTATACCATAAAACACATATTGGAAAGTGGCGTTTCCATATAACGATAATTCTGAAACATTTCTTCAGCTCTATTTCTGCATATATCCCCTCAATGCATATGCAATCTCACCTTATAACAGATAATAAAATAATTTAATAGAGTATATGAACCCTTTGAATATTTTCACATTTAATTTTAAAAAATTTCTTTCAATTCATCTTATTCGTAAAATATTTAAAATTGAATACCTACTCAAATATTTAAGGAATATATTTTATATAAATGATCTAACAGTAAGTAAATATACGGACCACTAACCAAGCAGGATTTAATTTGAAAAGTCACCAGTCTCCAAGCGGGTCCTTAATTTCCAAAAATGGTGGCTTCATGCACAGACCCATGCCAACAAGCAATCAAGTCTATAGTTTTAAGACTAGCATTTCCAGTAATTTAAATGTTGGGGAAAATAATGCTTTTCTATTTCTAAATACCTCTCCATCAATACCCCCTGTAAAGTATAAGAAACCTTGTGCTGATAAATATTGAAGAAAATATATAGGTACTTACCAGGTGAATGTTTTCTTACATTGTGTTCCATCAACTATCCCTATAATCCCAGGAAACCCAAATATATATATTTGATATTCTAGATTTTGTTCAATTAAACCGAGGATATATATTACAGTGTCGTTTAAAAGTCTCTGTCCTAAAAACTTAAGGAGGTTCATTTCTTGGCAATATGATTTTTCCTTACATCCACTCTTGAGGAAATCCATTTTCAATGAATATACCTACTGATCGACGTCTAGGATATCAAAAGTAATCATCGAACTTACGTAGAGGTATCATAATACACTTTTTAGCTTTCTCAAAGGAATAACAATAATTCTTCCTCGTAAAACAATTTTTTTATGTCTAAGATAGGTTAAGTGGCCACTAGCCTGGAAATTTGACCGCTTAATTTAAATATAAATTCAAGTTAGATTAAAGCATAGTGCAAGAAAATAAGCTAAACATAATGTTAAGTTTTACTTAAAAAACTTGGTGCAAACGCCCCTACATTGTATATTATCGATATTACTACGTATATTACAAATTAAAATTTAAATTAAAATACACAAAATAACTATTTTAAAATTTTTGATGAAAAAACACCACACCACCGTCACGCCACTGATGGAGTGAAATGACAGAAAGACAGACGAAACTCAACCGTGTTGTCATATTTATGTACCCATCTCTTTTTAACTCTCATAAAAGTGCCAAACCATGTATGATTCTAAAAAATTGAGTTTTATGAATGGAGTGTTCTGTCTACCTATATTTAGATGTCTTTGGTTTTTCTCCATTTATACTCAAGTCTGTATTTTTATACTCAATAACAATTAATTTTAATTCTTTCTAAAACATTATTTTTATTCAAAATTAACAAAAATTACAAAATAAAATACGAAAAACACATGTGTTTCTAGAATTTTACTTTTATTTTGTATCTGTCTTCCTATTACATTGTTAAACAGATTCCAATTCAAATAAATTATACAAACAATGTCACAATTAAGGTTATTTAAATATCGCTTGAACTTGATATAATATTTCTCAGTAAATAAAAGCTTTAAAAAATGGAGTAGATTAATTTTAAAACCTGCGTTTTCTCTGCGCACCAGATAAGCGTCCCCGGATTTAATGAACGATCAGTCCGGAGTCCGGAAATGGCGCTCCCGGACCTAAAGACTGTCTTTCTAACGAGATATATCGGTTCTTCGGCGGCAATATTTTCCTACTACATTGTTAAAGAGATTCTAGTTTGAATAAATTATATAAACCATGTCACAGTGAAGGTTATTTAAATGTCGTTTGAACTTAAAAATATTCTTCCCGAGTAAATAAGAGCTTTATAAAAAATGGAGTAGATTAATTTTAAAACGTGCGTTTTCTCTGCGCACAAGATAAGCGTCTCCGGATTTAATGAACGATCAGTCCGGAGTCCGGAAATGGCGCTCCCGGACCTAAACACTGTCTTTCCAACGAGATATATCGGTTCTTCGGCGGTAATTGGCGTAGATTAATTCCAAGAATTCGGAGGAAAAAGTCCGGTCGTCCAATTATGGAGAAGAAATTTAGGGGAAACGTGTCCCTGGAAAAGAATGTCAGACGGCCGTTTTTTATTCTTCCTCGAATTGTGGTAAAAAAGGAACATTTTTGGTTGAAAATTAAGTTGGATCGTAACATTGGAAAAGTTTTTAAAGAATGTTTTATTAAAAATGAAGTAGGATTGTAAGAAATGGAGTTTTAGTTTTTGTATAGAAACAGATTGAATTTCTAAATTAATATAATATTCTGTAGGCAAAAATACTCTTTTTCTCCATTTATACTCTATAACAATTTATTTCGGTTCTTTCTAAAAAACACTATTTTTATTCAAAATTAGCAAAAATTACAAAATAAAATACGAAAAACACATGTGTTTATAGAATTTTACATTTATTTTGTATCTATTTTCCTTTAGAAGAAATTTAGGGGAAACGTGTCCCTGGAAAAGAATGTCAGACGGCCGTTTTTTATTCTTTCTCGAATCGTGGTAAAAAAGGAATATTTTTGGTTGGAAATTAAGTTGGATCGTAATATTGAAAAAGTTTTTGAATAATGTTTTATTAAAAATGAAGTGGGATTGTAAGAAATGAAGTTTCATTGATTACTCACAACAACGCCGCATAGTTTAAACTAACCACGGACCCGCCTGGCAAATTCCCCCGATAATAAACTATTCTAATGTGATTATTATGGATCGGGATGGAGTAGGCACCTAAGACCTACCGCCCTCCGTATGTCGCTCAAACTTTTCGTATTATCTGGTATAAATTGCCGTGACGGAGGCGTTTGGGGTTCCTGGCGGAAAACCAGAGATGCCTCGCGCTGGGAATTCCAGTCCTTATACCTGTAAGCTAGACTAGGTCAGGTTTTAATTATTGTGAGGGAGGAATTTGGAAAATTCCATTATTGCCGGTTGGATGATGGACGGCTGGGGGTGGCTTGTTAATATGAATGATTATGTAAGACGGTGGTAGATTATTAAACAGATTAATTTTATATTGCCGTTAATACAGAATTTGTCTAACCAGAAATCTGTTTTGATATGTTGACGATACCTTCATAAATTGGGATGAAACAATCGCCCCATTTCCTAAAATAATTCAATTAGCACTTCTTAATACCGGGTGAGTCTCAAAAGTGGCTCACCTCCAACTTTTTTATTTTTTCAAATAAAGAAACAGCGGTCAAATTTGACAGCTGTCGTTTTTTTTTAAGTTCTCCTTTTTTAATGAAAATCGATATACTTATTAGGATGCCCATAGGAAGTTATTTAAGAAAATGAATTGAGTTTAAGTGTGTGGCACTGAGAAACCAGCATAACTAAAAAGTAAAAAATAAATTTAAGAAAAAAAAAATAAAAAAAGATACATTAAAAAGAAAAAAATAAACTTTTTCTTTAAAACTTTTATTATGAACTTATAACGTCATTACAGAATTTTATATTATATAAAAGCTTTTCGCGAGATTTGAGTGTACAGTTGCACTCATAAAAATCTGGTACGACAACTTTATCTTGTAATTCTTGTAATTCCAATATCTTGTAAACCTATTATTATTCCCATCCAGGATAAATTCATCCAGTTTAGAAGAACATTTAAAAAACTTTGTGTCCGAATATTACACACGGGTACTGAAAATTGCCAAAATGATCTGGCAAACATCTTATTAAAAACGGCAGACCTTATTATAAAAAACAACGGAGACCTCTGTTCTTTTCTCTCTGAATTGTCATGAGCTATCCATAAAGATTACAAATAGTTATTTTGATTAAAAATTAGTGTTTTTAATAGAGCTATGGGACTCTAGATTGCAATTTAAAATACGTTTTCTTTGAGCGAAAATATCAAAAGTTGACATGTGATATGTCAGTCTACTCAGAGTGTTATTTTCTATCGAATAAAGTAAAAAAATACCGTAGATGCCATTTAAAAATCAATAGTTTTAGTCATTTTCGATGAAACAGGAAGTGACCAAAATCAATTGAATACGTCAATCAATCCTAATTTATGTCATATACTAACATACCATGTTTCGTTTTTTTATCCGAAAAAATAAAAAAGTTATAGGGGTTAGCCACGTTCGAGATGCACCCGGTATAGACACATACGGGACAATATTTGAGTTCTCAGTGAAACCATTCTTAAGCAACTGAGATAGAAATAAGCAAATAATATAGAATTAAAGTATAGATCCTTCTCTAAGATGTGTCTTAACAATAACAAGATCAAAAAGATCATATCAAAACGGAGAATGAGTGCATCTACCAGGTACCTTGTGAATACGATCGAGTCTATGTCGTGTATTGGAAAGGCAAGACATCCAAAATTAATTGTTGGTAAGCATAAATAAGAATAAAACATCCAAAATTTTATATCTACAGAATATTATATTAATTTAGAAATTCAATCTGTTTTTCTATAAATCTGAACTTATTTCTTACAATTATACTCCATTTTTAATAAAACATTCTTCAAAAACTTTTCCAATATTACGTCTCAACTTAATTTCCAACCAAAAAATGATCCTTTTTTTACCACGATACGGGAAAGAAAAATAAAAAAACCGGCGACCGAGGTCTGATATTCTTTTCCAGAGACACGTTCCCCCTAAATTTCTTCTCCATAATTGGACGTCCGGACTTTTTCCTCCGAATTCTTGGAATTAATCTACGCCAATTACCGCCGAAGAACCGATATATCTCGTTGGAAAGACAGTCTTTACGTCCGGGAGCGTCATTTCCGGGCTCCGGACAGATCGTTCATTAAATCCGGGGACGCTTATCTGGTGCGCAGAGAAAACACAGGTTTTAAAATTAATCTACTCCATTTTTTAAAGCTCTTATTTACTCGAGAGGAACATTTTGAAGTTCAAGCGACATGTTTAAATAATGTTCAGAGTGACACGGTTCCTATAATTAGGTCTAACCAAAATAATTTATTGTTGAGCATAAATAGAGGTTAAAAAATCCAAACTTTTTATCTACAGAATATTATTTAATTTGGAAATTCAATCTGTTTCTATACAAAACTTAAACTTCTTTTCTTACAATCCCACTCCATTTTTAATAAAACATTCTTCAAAAACTTTCCCAATATTACGTCCCAACTTAATTTCCAACCAAAAATGATCCTTTTTTACTACGATACGAGAAAGAAGAATAAAAAAACTGCGACCGAAGTCTGACATTCTTTTCCAGAGACACATTTCCCCTAAATTTCTTCTCCATAATTGGACGTCCGGACTTTTTCCTCCGAATTCTTGGAATTAATCTACGCCAATTACCGCCGAAGAACCGATATATCTTGTTTGAAAGACAGTCTTTAGGTCCGGGAGCGCCATTTCCGGGCTTCGGACTGATCGTTCATTAAATCCGGGGACGCTTATCTGGTGCGCAGAGAAAACGCAGGTTTTAAAATTAATCTACTCCATTTTTTAAAGCTCTTATTTACCCGAGAAGACGTTTTGAAGTTCAAGCGACATGTTTGAATAATCTTCAGAGTGACATCGTTCCTATAATTAGGTCTAACCAAAATAATTTATTGTTGAGCATAAATAGAGGTTAAAAAATCCAAACTTTTTATCTACAAATTATATTAATTTGGAAATTCAATTTGTTTCTATAAAAAACTAAAACTTTTATTCTTACAAACCCACTCCACTTTTAATAAAACATTCTTCAAAAACTTTTTTAATATTACGTCTCATCTTAATTCCCAACCATAAATGTTCTTTTTTTTACCACGATACGAGAAAGAAGAATAAAAAACCTGCGACCGAAGTCTGACATTCTTTTCCAGAGACACGTTTCCCCTAAATTTCTTCTCCATAATTGGACGTCTGGACTTTTTCCTCCGAATTCTTGGAATTAATCTACGCCAATTACAGTCGAAGAACCGATATATCTCGTTGGAAAGACAGTCTTTAGGTCCGGGAGCGCCATTTCCGGACTTCGGACTGATCGTTCATTAAATTCGGAGAAGCTTATCTAGTGCGCAGAGAAAACGCAGGTTTTAAAATTAAACTACTCCATTTTTTAAAGCTCTTATTTACTCGATAATGACATTTTGAAGTTCAAGCGACATGTTTAATTAATCTTCAGAGAGACATCGTTCCTATAATTAGGTCTAACCAAAATTAATTGTTGTTGAGCAAAAATAGAGATTAAACAATCCAAACTTTTTATCTGCAGAATATTATTTAATTTGGAAATTCAATC